ATATATATATATATTATTATTATTATTATTATTATTATTATTATTATTATTATTATTATTATTATTATTATTATTATTATTATTATTATTATTATTATTATTATTATTATTATTATTATTATTATTATTATTATTATTATTATTATTATTATTATTATTATTATTATTTTCCATTATCATTATTTTCCATTATCATTATTTTCCATTATCATTATTTTCCATTATCTATTATTTTCCATTATCATTATTTTCCATTATCATTATTTTCCATTATCATTATTTTCCATTATCATTATTATTATTATTTTGTCATCATGATTATTATATTATCATGATTATTATATTATCATTATTATTATATTATCATTATTATCATTATTATTGTAGACGAAAAAAACGCTGGTTCCCGAGGAGCCTGATGATGGTATTATGAAGACTAAAGGTTGTGGAAACCATCAGGTACAAATGATACATGTAGTACAACATATGCGGTTTACAACTACATCTCATAGAAAGTACGATAAAAACCTTATACAACTAAACCCCTTAAAACAATACATCAGAATTAGGCCACGACTACATTTCCATACGAATTGTATCAAGTTTGAGTCAACTTTATTTGCTAGCCACTCCCCGACCAACTCCTGAAAACCATCCAACAATAGGTAAACTTTCCGCCACGAACCAAATGTTTCAAACAGTTTTTGAAACATTAATTTCGCTAAGGCAACCGTAGTCAAATTCTAGCGCACAAGCTACCTGACCTACTCCTAACTATGGTCGGGAAGGGGCGTACTATGTTACAGTCATGTACGGCCAAGCTATCATGTAAGTGACAGGGCTTTACGCGTGCGGCATTTCCTGTGTTTACGTTTCATTTTTGTAGTGCAAGCACAAGTACAATTAACGTATACTATTGTTTTTCTTTAAGTTTAACTGTAGTAATGAATAGGAACAAAAGGTTAAATAGGGTTTTGTAATTTGTAAGGTTTTTTTTTAATTTTAATGGCAGTATTAGTGGTTTAGTCATGTTTTTGATATGACTGGTACTAATAACAATAGATAGAACGATCATGACTTTTACTCGATGTTTGTAGTTGTTAACGGACTTCCCCAAGTAACTTTTCTTTTGTTGTTAAAGTCATTACGATTTCTTGTAGAATGGAGACCAGTGGGGAACGCCTGAACATGACAACTGTTACTGCCAAGGACAGGACCGTTTCTGCTATCGTGTGGAATGTCTTCCAGGTTCTGAGATTGTCCAAGCCGACGCCAATAGCTTGTGGGAGTGTCCTGATGGTTTTTCTTCAGGTGATAGTAGACACATGCGTGTGTTTCGATGACAGACATACAACAAGCCGAGTGCGATTTTTTTTTATATAAGTCAGTCAACATAAGAAGCATGCAACTTCCCACTACTGGACGTAGAATCAACTCTGCTGCCCTTCACTCTAAAGTACTCTACTCTACTCTACTCTACTCTACTCTACTCTACTCTACTCTACTCTACTCTACTCTACTCTACTCTACTCTACTCAACTCTGCTCTGCTCTGCTCTGCCCTGCCCTACTCTACTCTACTCTACTCTACTCTACTCTACTCCACTCCACTCCACTCCACTCCACTCCACTCCACTCCACTCCACTCCACTTTACTCTATTCTGCTCTGCTCTACCCTACTCTACTCTACTCTACCCTACCCTACTCTACCCTACTCTACTCTCCTCTACTCTACTCTACTCGACTCGACTCTACTCTACTCTACCCTGCTCTACTCTACTCTACCGTACTCTACTCTACTCTACCCTGATCTACTCTACACAACCCTACTCTACTCTACTCTACTCTACTCGACTCGACTCGACTCTACGGTACTCCAAACTACTCTACTTTACTCTACTCTATTCTACTGTACTGTACTCTACTGTACTCTACTGTACTGTACTGTACTCTACTCTACTCTACTCTACTCAACTCTACTCTACCCTACTCTACTCTACTCTACTCTACTTTACTCTACTCCACTCTACTCTACACTACCTACCCTACCCTACCCTACCCTACCCTACCCTACTCTACTCCACTCCACTCCACTCCACTTCACCCCACACCCCACCCTACCCCACTCCACTCCACTCCACTCTACTCTACTCTACTCTACTCTACTCTACTCTAATCTACTCTACTGTACTCTACTCTACTCTACTCTACCCTACTCTACCCTACTCTACTCTACTCTACTCTACTCTACTCTACTCTACTCTACTCTACTCTACTCTACTCTACTCTATCCTACTCTACTCTACACTACTCTACTCTACTCTACTCTACTCTACCCTACTCTACTCTACTCTACCCTACTCCACTCTACTCTTCTCTACTTTATTCTACTTTATTCTACTGTACTCTACTGCACTGTACTTCACTATACTGTACTGTACTGTACTGTACTGTACTGAACTGTACTCTACTCTACTGTACTCTACTGTACTTATTGTACTCTACTCTACTGTACTGTACTGTACTGTACTCTACTCTTCTGTACTGTACTGTACTCTACCGTACTCTACTCTATTTCTACTGTAGTCTACTCTTTTGTACTCTAACCCTACATAATCCCTCCATAAGGAGCAGATAGGGCCCTCTCTTTACAAAGTGTTACTGTTCATATTTAAACTACAGGGTTGATTAAAACCTGAATAAGAAGTACTGAAAAGAGTTCCGATGTTGCGTCATGTTTGTCCCTATTCTGTAGCAACCCAACATTTAATAAATACCATGTCGACAGTAGAATAGACCAATAGGATTAAAATGCCCCATATTATCAAGACCTATTTTCCTCTCCGTACATACTTGTATGCATTAAATTACAGTACATCTTGCTTCAGGAGGAGGAGAAAATGACGCCGGCATTGGGGAATCTGAAGATGCAGATGAACGTCGTGACTTTGCAGAAGAGGAAAGGGGCCTCTTCTCATGGGGAAAGGGTCGTGGAAGGGGAAAGGGAAAGGGTCGTGGGACAGATGAAAACGGACTCATCACGGCAAAAGGTTGCCAAAACCATCAGGTACATAAACATACAATCAAATTAATTACCAGCTACAGAGTATGTAAATCGGACGATGAAAAAGACATGAATAAATTCCAAACCATATCCCTTCTAGGTGCGAAATACTTGACTGTCATTATTAACACATCAGTAAATGTCAGAAATATTTGAACCTTTCATTTGACACGGAAGAACGTCTCTTGGAATTATTTGTTCCGCAAATTTACTATTTCCATACCATATATCATTTGCATGATGCGTTTGAATTAGCATTATAACAGTTTTGATTGGACAATATTTTCTGGCTAGTTGGGCAGTCCTGTCTGTATTTGAAAGACTATCTAAGGTGTCCTCACTGGATAATTTGGCATTTTAAACCTTTCATCGTTTTGTCACAAAGAAATTCAGAAATAACTGTAGCTGTACTGAATATTGATACCAGGGTACAGAGGGGTTGTGAATATGATTTTATGGACCATATGGATGACGTTATAATATTCTATTGCCCCAAATGTAATTATATTTAGAGCTATTATATACAGCACTTTTGTAGAAATAACTGCAGTAAAAGTATGGTTTTCATGTGCATAATGGTCAAAGCTACAAACGTACGTTTGCACAAATTGATATCTATTAATTACCTGTAGTTATTAGAGAATAACCTAATTACCTAATTAAAATCCTGTTATTCTCTAATAGCTAACATTTGATGCTGCAACTCTCATCAGATGTCTCAAGAAATACTCTTATTGAAAATACATTTACACAAGTAGACTGTGTTTACTTAAAGATGTTAATTTTTTCTCTAGATTGGAGACCAGTGGGGCACGCCTGAGAACAACAACTGTATCTGCCAAGGTTCAGACCGCACCTGCTATCCTGTCAACTGCCTTCCCGGGTCGGAGATTGTCCGTATAAGTGACGCCGATGGTCCCTGGAACTGTCAAGTTGATTTCTCCACGAGAAGCATAACAGGTGAGGCCTAACTGATTTAGTTTTATGGATGACATCCGCGCGCGCATTGATTTTCGTCTGTTCTGTAGCCTCTGAGACTCTGAACTGGGTGTCATCCTAGGTATATGTAGTCCGTGGTAGCTAGCGACATGGAGCCTGCGGTGACTATGTAGGGTGGCATAAATGCTGTCGAAGCTCCACAAAACGCAAGATCTCAGTACACTACCGACTTATAAATGTCGCAAAGGACCAGAATGTATCGGCTTTTCATAAAATTCGATATCTATACTATCACAGATTCACAATAACAGCTTTCAACTCCTTTTGGTTTAGTAGTATTTGGCATTTTGCTGGAGTATTTTATTCGTCTGCACGCAATAGTTTGGGGGTCTTCGGAGGATGCCATGAATGAAATTACGTCAGTATGGCCTAATGTATTTTTTCTGTGTTACTATATGTCTCTTAATGTCTGTCATTTAGTATGAAAAAAAGGACCTGGTCGGCTTCAAAATGTAGTTTGTAAATAATATTCAAGTGTTGGTTCGAAATTCTTTTTCTGTATACCTGCACTGGTGCAGGTAACATAGAAAATTACCTGCACTAGACATGGCTTACTTGCACCACTTGGAATTTAAAAACATATTTATCATCATAAAAACTGTTAATAAACTTCTACGCTCTTTTTCTTTTATATTTCACGTGTGGTGACAGTCAACGCAGCAAATAAAAATCCACATACATATACATGTGCATATAAACTTAATGCATGGATCGCCCGCATTACAGAAATGTACATACTGTGATGTTTAGTGCATGCGATCTCTGCACATAGAGTCTATGTGTACAATCTCTATTAATTTTCCGAACTGTTAAAGATGGAAATGCTGTTTCGCAACAACAAAACCTAGTCAAAATGAAGCAGTTGAGACAAACTAAATCACACAAAAAGTTGCTCTATTGTTGACAGGGTTCTAGTCTTGATGCACCAGATTAAATTACTTCATCAAAGATGGTCCCCATCTACTAGTCAAACGGCGTTAGATTTTTTAAATCACATTTATTTAAAGATTATTGATTTATTGCACAGACTATTGTTTTTAAAATATCCATTGGCAGATCTACGGGATGCAAAATACAATGACGAATCAGACTGCAAGTACACTTCATACAAATATATGTTGACAGTACTTGGCAATTCAAAAACAAATCAAACTCTATTATTGAATAAATTAGAGATATTTCTTCCGAATGTTTGGAGTGACATCAGTCACTCTTCTTCAGCGTCACTTTTAACGTCATTTATTTTACCTTTTTTTATTAGTGACGTTAATAAAGGGTGACGGGTGCCACTTGGAAGTAATGTCCACAATTTATCCAATAGTAGAATTTGATTTGTCTTTATATATTGTTTACCTGAATGTCTTAATGTCTTACCCCCTTTATTAAACTACTTGGCAACTCATTTCAGTTACAGATGGGTACAGAAATAACCATATTTGGGGCTTGCAGTGTTATTAAATCCATTGAATCAACTTTTATTATCATTAAAGCTAGTTTGTATTCGAAATATCTGTTGCTTATGTGATTATGATGATGGTATCTATTGCTATTTATTTGAATATTTGATTGCATTTACATTGTATTAAGCGTTATAATGTCTGTATGAAATATGTGGTCACGTTATTAGCTAGCAACTGGCTAGTGCCTACATTGAATGGTCCAGCTGCAAAAAAAAGGGTTAAAGTTAAATTAATGTCTTTTGCATTCTAGGATCGGCTGAGATTTTACAGGAAAATGAAAAGGTAATAGCCTATACCCTCCTATATGTAGTTATAATGGTGCATTATTGTTTATTCGATTACCAAGTCTTGATTTCGTGCTTCTTTGTTGCTTGCCCTAAATTCCATATACTAGTAATGCTTACATTTCTCTTTGTGACAGAGAATAGCGGCCCTTGCGGCATTCGGCCTCTTTGCAGGGGTAGTAGGGATAGTCAATTTCATTTGGAGCCGTATCGGGGCTGCAAAAACAACGGCAAAGCTCAACGAAATACAAGACCAGATTCGAGAGCTGGACAAAAAAGTGGACGAGTTGACACAAAGCGTCAGTGGCCTCCAACTGGGGCAGCAGTACCTCCAACAAGTCATCCTGTATGGTAGAGATGAACTACGACTGAGGAACATGCTGGACACTCTTGCTCGGATGCAAGTTAGAAACGGGCGGTACACAGGAACGTACGACATCAAAGGCTGGGCAGACAGCGTGCTGAGTCATGGGTCAGATGGCGTCCAACAGGTACATGTATTAGAAAATAATATTAGATTAGTCAGCAGAGAAGCTAAATATGTGCTTAACCCTTGTCCTGTTGACATTTTTACGCAATATTTTTCAATAATTTCATGTCTTTACCAGGCTATAGACCCACAGAATCCCGGGCCCATTGAGGAACAGTGAAACATTTAGCCATACCCGTTTGTAGGACTACCATATCCGAGAGAACCTTTCCTAACAGAGCAATCTCCCTCTGGAATGGTCTTCCCAGTGATATCCGTACAGCTCACTCCGTTAGCTCATTCAAAAATAAACTCTAAATGTCTGTTTCTCTCCGCCTGCCTAACAGAATTTGTTACATTTCATGATATAGATAAATTTAATTTTATCCTAGAAGGCAATAACCCTTACTGTGTACAAATAGGTAAATATATCAAAGAATGTTTAGCCCTTAGAACAAGTAGTATTAGCTGACCCATCTATAGTTTTGTACGTAGGGTAATTTCGTTGTACCCATGTATATTTGTCTGTATATCTACATGTCTTAGACCTTACGAAAGTCGCTGTACTTTTGTTGTGTCAATAAAGTTCTCTCTATGTCTAAATGTTTTACCGTTTTTGCAGGTAATGTACAATCTGCTAGACATGGTGAAACCACAGTCGGTGCTCTTCGGTGGAAAATCCCTGTTTGAAATATACCACCAACAACTCAAAGACGGGGACCTAACTACGTACAGAGAGAGGGTAACTATCTTTTGCCATTTGTCCTTTTTTATTTTGACTCGTGAGTTTTAAAAATTTAATACGGAAACAACGACAACATCAGCCCAAAATTTGTTGTTTTTGTTTGTTTGTTTGTTGTGAAATGTAACTGTCATTTATATCAGATTGCTATAAAGATGATAACTTCATTATTTTTCTCAGCATCAACCTTACGGGCACTAGGGTTGGAATGGCATGTATATTTATGTTCATGATCTTCTATACATTCTTTATGGCATAAAAATTACCATGGTAGGAGCTTGTTTGGTCGGCTAGCAAGCAAGAAATTTGGCCTATTAGATGCTGGAAATTAAATGTATACTGGCTTGTAAAATTCATTGCCGTGTAGTCATGAGATGATGTAGACTTCGTTTCACGAACAATTAATATTGATCTAATCCTACAGATGCCAAAGAAAGTCACGCAGGTCTATGCTCTGATTGGAGGCGGGTACGCAGTCTGGATCACCGCTCTGCGAATCAAGGGACGAACAAGGGAGATTCCCGGCAAGACACAAGAGGCACAGGAGAAACTTAAGAGTTTGGAACCAAACCTGGAAAAGTACTTTAAGTATGGTAAGTTTAGATGTGTTTCATATTCTAAAGTATATCTCATAACATGTTTTAAACTGGGGTAAATTATGGTTGCATTTGCAGAAGGAAACGTTGTTTTTGCACACTGTTTCTTCTTCCTCTCCTTTTTTTCTGCAAACAAGTAGAGCTAATGACGTGGATCAGACGTCTGTCACCATGGTAACTGGTGCTGTAGCAGACACCATGTAATTTTAGGTTACATTTTGTAGAGAGATAGATGTGGTTGGCCATGGGTTGCTCAACATATACATAATCATATATGAATGTGTGGAATGAGTACGAAAAGTAAAAAAGGGGTACTTTGGTAGGATAGAACATGTAACGATAACCATTATGCATTTTCCAACTTTAATGTTACAGTTACTAGTTGCATTTATAAGTTTAACTTTAGCAAAAGATGCGTTGGATGTCAGCTTTCAAAACTAATAAAAAAATTAACTTTTTTTTACATTCTCTGTTCTAGGTAGCTGCCCCACCAGCTATCAACGGAAGGACAGGACATGCTACAAAGCGTTCAACAGTTTCAAGACCTGGACTGATGCCTCTGCATACTGTCAGGCCGAGGGACCAGGCGGGAAGTTGGCAATGGCAAAAGACAGCAGCACCAACGCATTCTTGATCAGCCTCAAAGATGCTGCAAGTAGTTCATGGGGCTTTTGGTTTGGGCTGAATGATAGGGCAAGGGAGGGGAGCTGGAAATGGCCTGATGGTACCTCTCTGGGGTCGTTCAAATACTGGTCACCGATTGAGCCAAACAATGGGGGTACAAATTGGTGGGGCACACCCTTGGGTAACGAAGACTGTGTGGAGTTTTTCAGGACCGGATGGAGGAACAGTAACTGGAACGACGCTGACTGTGGGAAGACGAGGTACTTCATTTGTGAAAGGAAACCAGAGGGTGAGTCAATGTGATTTCAAATGACTCTTCCTGCTGTTTTCACTGTAATATTACGTCTGTCGATTGCACACTAAATTGGCATGACGCTGATCACGTTGTCATTGAAATATGATATCGCGGTCTAAAATATTTATAAAGTATACGAATTTGCGATTTGTTCAACGTTTGGACTAAATGCTAAAAACGGAGTATTGTAGTTGTTGCTCTCCTTATTTCCATACCTTTGAAGAATTATACCGTTGCTGATTGCTGTTACTGTAACAATACCTTTTCTTAGCATCCTAAGTTGCACTGTTCTTACCTCTTTCCTTTAACTTGCAATTAGCCCTTTATAAGATTTTGCAGTAAAATCATACTTGTTAATGTACTTTCTTTAATTTTGTGTTTTTCATCACAGGACTCTGAAGCCACGCGAAATTTTCTGGAATGGCTCCTTGTGATTTCTGCATTGGGCAGAAATAGTGCATCTATATTCCTCAAATACGCGTAGTGTTCCTTACATGAACGTAGTATTCCTTACGTACACGTAGTGTTCCTTACATACATTGTACACGTAGTATTCCTCAAATACGCGTAGTATTCCTTACATAAACGTAGTATTCCTTACATACATTGTGCACGTAGTGTTCCTTACATACACGTAGTGTTCCTTACATAAACGTAGTATTTCTTACATACATTGTACACGTAGTGTTCCTTACATACACGTAGTATTTCTTACATACACAAAGTATTCCTTACATACATTGTGCACGTAGTGTTCCTTACATAAACGTAGCATTTCTTACATACATTGTACACGTAGTGTTCCTTACATACACGTAGTATTCCTTAGTCTCAATGCAATAACCCCTGTAATCACCGAGATCTAAATTCCTGTTTAAATCTCAAATATACCCAGTTTCACTTTTGATATAAGTTGATATCAATATAAAAAGTTTGTTCGATTCTGACATTAACTGATCTGTTTTTAGTTATTAAAGGAGACCAATATTGTATATTCCAGAATTAAAATGGGAATATCATGTACCACTTCACCCAAAGAGTTTACCCTAGCAGCAAAGTAGAATGTACGGAAAATGAAATAGAAAGTTTACAAATAAGAAATTTGCAATGCTTTGTAGGTATAATGTCATATTTGTATGATAACCAGAAGAAGCCATATTACTTCCTACTACCTTTGAAGTGCTGGTTTTAAAAACCTGTTATGAAATCAGATGTTAAAAATTTGTGTTTTTGAAATGAAAGTACGGTTTTGAGAGAAATGAGATTGTATTCCGAAAAGTCTCCTTTAGACTGTTAAATTCTTTGCCAATATTATATGCAATTCTAGGCAACCATGAAACATATATTCTGTAACTTCAGTTACCATGATCATACTTATTTTAATCCATATCCATATGCAGCAAGACAATGTTTTACTTATGACAGATATCATGTATGGTTATCATACTGAAAACCTGATCACAGAGATTTCAGTAAAATTGTAGGAATGATGATTCCTATGGAATATCTTGTCGGCTAAAAGCCTCTGGGCGGAAACATATCCAAGTGGCCAGAAGGTGAGGAACTAACTGTCACCGATTCGTAGCTTTTATTGCTGACCACAATGCAGCACAGTGCAGCAATGCGAATCTCACTATCTCAGAAATTTAGGTACTTCAAAACTGCCCGTCATTTTGTTCTTCTGAAAGGTGTTCAATTAGCCGGAATAAAAAAGGAAAATGGCAAGAATAGCTTAAATATCAGCATGTTACTCAGTCGCAAGAACAAAAAAAATTGCAATAGCAACATATAATAAACGAGGGGCAAAGTCTGGTCACGTATTTGAGGTTATGCTTACTTTTACCAATCAATTATCCAGGAATTAATGTGTAAAACTGTTTATACATAGTCATCAATGCTATATACTATTTGGTTATTCATAATATATCCATAGGTAACAGTAAGAGTAAGCTAGACCCCAGGCCTGTGCAGTTACAATCCACAACACTAAAACACGAATTTACCTTTAAGCCACACCAATTAACTTTGTTGTTTCTCCGACTCGACATGTCAATTTTTTCTGATTTCCTAAATTAACTGCAAAATGCTCAATGAAAGACGTAGTTTAGTCCAAATGGTTGAAGAAAGTCATTTTCTTCCCAGTTATGAAAATTTTTCAATGTAACAATGCAACTTTGTTTCATTAAAAGTTCAAAATCTATTGTTTTACTAATAAAACCAGCCTGGTATGTTGACTTCATGGTTCATATCGTAACATTTCTGGCTATCATGGGGTGCCTTGGCCTAGCGCCTGTTTTTGTTTAAATTTTGCCCTGTCGCTTCATCTTTTTTCTGAAAAAAAAAGAGAAACAACAAATTTAATTGGTGTGGCCTTATCGCAGTTTTCCAAGTTGAGGTCTGTATATCAGCGATGTCAGTAGATTTATGTTATTCCTGGATGAACAGGTGTTATGAAAGAGCATTTCAGCAAGTAAAACAAAAAATATCAATGCAATATTCGTTATAAAATCTATCTTTTAGGCTTGAACATGCACTGGACAGGATAAAGCAGCAGTACCAACAGCACACAACCGTTTAAAGACTGGCTTGTTCAAGCAGAAGAGAAATAAGAATGAAACATCTACTGCCGTTCATGGAGCCTGGTGATTAGGAAATTTAAGTTTTGAAGTAAATGTACTTTGTTTAAGGAGAAATTCAAATAAAATTGTTTAAGCATATCTTTTATCTGTTGATTCTGTGTCAGTGGTGAGATATGTTAGATTTTAAATTTTATCTTTAGGACACAAAATTTAATTTGTTGGTTTTCGGATTTTTTCTGAAAAAAATATTAAGCGACGGGGCAAAAATAAATAACCACTGTATTGATATATGGAAAACTGTAACTAGGAAGGACTTTCCTAAACTTTTGGGGGCAAAATATGACAATTTTTTAGTTGATTCAGAACTAGAATCTTATTTTTTTGAAAACCAGAAAAAAATGAAGAGGTGAATCCGAGAACCAACAAATTAAATTGCTGTGGCCTTATCAATCAATTAGTCCTACATTATGAGATATTTATGCATAGAACAAACAAACAAAGTAATCATTCAGCATGTTATTTTTTCTAACAATCCATGGAATCTGAAATATAATAGAACAAAACTGCCAGGGTACGTAAAATGTAAACAAACGCCTGAAAATACCTATATTGCATCAGCTCTGAACCATTTTTTAAAGTAACATTTAGTTTCTCCTGAAAAGCGATAATCAGGTTACCATTCTCCCTACACATAAATATCGCCTTATTCTATGGAAACGTTCTTGGAAGAAAAACATTTCCTTGTAAAATACTGTATCTTGAGACTTGCAAACGTTTTATATAGGCAACTTGCCCTTACCAAATATCACATTAAAACTACTGTTTTTTTAATTATCTTTAGTAATGTTCGAGACTGATAGTTGCCCCCGCCCCCAGAAATATTGGCTCAAAAGTAGTTTTTCTTAAGACTTTTTAGGGAAAAAAACTTTCATATTCCCTTAAAAGACAGAGCAAGATAATTGACACCACATGAGTAATAATTGACACCACAATAAGTAGTTGCAACGACC